TGACTGCAAGATGGAAAAGCATCATCGATAGGAATGGAGACTATTTCATTTAATAAATTTTTTGTTTTGGTACATAAGTTGTTTGGGTTTTTTCATCTAACAGAAAGCAACATTAATATCTTCATGACCTAATACTTAGAAAAGAACATCTACAACCTCAAATCAATTTAGTAATTTTCACCACCTTGGTCTTGAATGTGATTATGATCCAATTAATAATGACTTTATCATTTTAAACAGCATCAGTAATGAACAAACTTTACTTATTATGAACTCACTCATCTTCTGACAACAAAACTGAATTTAAGTCAGATTTCTTATCCATTAATACTGAAAATGTTAATACAACTTTATATTTCACTGTACTTTTTCTTTTCTTTTATATGCCACTTACTTTTGTTTTCAATACATCTGTATAAAAGAAGTTTAAGACTGTGAGTAAACTCATTTTGGATACAGTAACAAGCTTTAACTACTTGTAATAGTTGAACTGCTAGCACAGGTCTATATCAGATCAGTTGTCTTCATCTGTGCTAGCAATTCAGAACATCTCCAAGCTATCAGAGATGGATGAAGCTTATTACACTAATTACTAATACATCTGTACAGTTCAAATTTGTACTTTATAATTAATAGCAAGCTCTCATATCAATATTCACAGTTTCATCCAATAACTATAAAATCATCTACGACACCTACATGTGTGTGTGTGTTTATATATAACATTAAACTTAAAACTTCACTATTATCAATGCACATGACCTTAATTGTTGCATCAAGTCAGTTACAACAAATTAACTCTGGAATCCTGAGGAGGAGGGAAGGAAACAGGATTGTGAGACAACAGCGGAAGTTGAATGGAAGTAGAGGAACCCATGAATTGACTGCCAAGGACCTCCAAACATGGGAATATTGAAGGAGTCTGGCTCCTACCAGCTCTTACCTGAGAGTGGTGGTCAGATAAGATAAATATGGGAAAAGGTCCGATCCCAACTAAGGGATAAGCGACAACAAATGCTGCTGGAGTCCAAATAAGGGAAGTTGGAATGATGATAATCAAAAGCACGACTGTCCCTAGTATGGGGGGGGGGGGGGTCAAGGCATAATGACCCCAAATGCAAATGCTTCCCAAAATGACTCACATGAACCCCAATATCCAGGGAAGGAGGAAAACTAAATAATGATCAAAAGGCTAGTCACTGAGAAGAAAATGAGAGATAAGGGCAGAACATAACATAGTTGAATAATCAAATCTACAAAAGGGGGAAAGAGGTCTGGGTAAGTCCTCTGGAAAAACAGGCAACTGAGATGCATATTCAGGAGGGGAGAAAAGGCTGTCCAAATAGAAAACTTCCTGATCACTGAAAAATGTGATAGGACAATCATCAGTTTGTTCTGATTGATACATGAAATTGATCAACTCCTAATGGACCAGAGCCATCACTTCATGGGCCAAGAATCATAGTTCTGACCAATTGGATGTGGTTGATAATTCTGCTGCATTAGTAATAGCAGTTGTAGTTGTGACCACCTGAAACTGCGTGTGCATAACTCACGAAGTTGAAAGAGGAGAGTAGATAAAAAATAAAATAAAAAAATGCGTAACTCTCCACAAAAGAGAATGAAAATAGTAAATAACAATGTAACTGAAGTATAAAAATTAAGAAAGCAAAATCTTGAGGATAAGAGAATCAAACTGCAAGTGAAAACATGTCTATTTGATAGGACTGCCAATCGAAAGGTGGTCAACAGCTGCAAGATTAGAGAGAGCACTGGTTATGATAGGGGAGTATCGCACTCCTATTGGTGGAGTGTTGGTGCACAATCATTTGCATGTTAGTTTGCAAAGATAAGTGGGAGTATCAAGGCTAGTGGTGAGTGAAAATTTGCACCAATAGAGAGCAGTATAAGTCATGAAAGTTTTTTGTGAGAAGAGGCAAGATATCCTATTGGAATTAAATTTTTTTAATAAATTATCTAATCTTATTTACAAGTTATAACAACTGAAATTAAATGTTAATACATTTAAGTTCATAACTTCATTAATGACCAAAAATTAGATATACCTTAACATAAAGTCTGTAGTAATCAAGTCATAAAGTTTTGCCAGAAGAAATCTTGACAAACCAGCATTTTCAGATACAGCCAGAGATTGTAAAAGTTCACTCAGAACCAACTCAGATGGATTATTTTTAATAATCAACTCTGCTGCAATAGCCCGAGCAGTGCTGTCCTGTCGGCTCCAAACCTGGTGATAGACTCCTTCCAAAACTTTCATAACCTGTGAAACAAAAACACATGTACATATTTTTTCCCTTGATTTTGTGCTATAAGATTTAACTATATTACTAGTGCTAAGCCTTACAGATATCTATTTCATGTGAATGTTCCAAAAACAATAGCAATACTTAGTTTTTATTCTACATTATTTATCAGACATACTGTTTACTAAAAATAAATATGAAGCCCAAACTATCATTATAATCACCACTTGTCACTGAGTTATATTAGTTTCAGAGAATGCCACCTGTCATCCATAACCCTACATGAGGGCAAATCAAAAGAAACAAAACAAGACTAGGCTTCTTCTTGTGGTGAATTTATGGTCTTTTTAGTTCTATTTCACCCACTACAATGAACCTATATTTATAATAATTTTAAGAATCTGTAGTGTTTATGCTACTAAGTTATTCAGTAGATATGCTGTTTAACATACTAAAAAAAATGAAACCCAATCTATCTAGGGTTTTTAGAAAACAAGCTTATTACTTGCAACCTTTTTACATTCTCATGTGCAATTACACATTATTCTGATCATACATAAACTGCCAAACAATGTAAACGTGCACATTACATCTAGTGCTTTAAAACTAGCTGTTTTGAAGGGGAAATTAGTAATTTGACATGATAATGATGAATAAAATAAAATATGAGAAACAAAATATTTTAATACAATATCAATACTAGAACTAAATTTACCTTTCATTTTCTAGATAAATGAAACCCATACAAGATTCAGTGGTTGTTTTACATTATTTTAGCTTGTTTTTTTTTGTTGTTTTTTTAGAGGGGAGAAGTTGCAATTGTTAAAATAACAATGACTTTATTTTTCTTCTCCTGGAATCTTCTTCTTCATCTTTATCCCACAAGTTAATCTTATGATACAACTGAAATTTCAGTTGCAAAGTTTATCACCTCCTCACTCCCTGTCACTTTCTTTCATTATGAACTACAGCAGCTGCTGAGATCCTCTAGTGGGTTACAGAGGATTAACCACACTTTAGAAGAATGAGTTACATATACCAATTCAGTAACATATTGCAGCAGCTGTGAGCTGTGGTGTCACAGTAACATCTATATGTTTTATGTTCACAGTAAATTTTCAAGGATTAAACAGTGCAATACTATCAAGGATCACCTTATGGCTAGACATAATCACAGCCTTTTGTGTGGTATTCATCAGCAAGACTGTTAAATAATATTGAGCTAAAGAACACAAAGTTACAAAGAAGGGAGACTTTTTAATGTTCCTAAAGAAAGCAGAAAAACACAATTCAGTGTTTATAGCACGAACAGGTTTTAAAACCATATATACCCCAAACCAATCAAGAGTAATGACTACATTTGTAAAATGAAGGCTGTAACTATGAATATCTTCTGGCACCATTCATAAGATAACAAATACTAGAGGCTCTCAAACTAAAAGTTCACAAGTTCCCAGTTACACCTCAAAATCAATGGCTGTTTTCATGAGAAAGATGGATCAAGAAACTGAAATCACAGCAATCTCATTAAGCTTAACGTAGCTCCAGTGAGTTTTTGTACCTTTAATCTGGTTAAAAGTGGTCCTGAAAGACAATGCTCATATACAGTGAAGGGTTTCTCAAAAATGATTTTTCTGCCCTTTGTAGAAACTTGTTTCAATGGAAATTGTGGTGTCAGGTAATAGTGTTTAATCATGGTCATACAATGAAGCACAACTAATGATGAAGAAAGTATTCTTTGATAGATTCTTTAGGCAGAGTGTTCATTATGAAATTTAGTTGAATGGATGGCAACTGCCTGTTGTAGAAACACAAGTATAGAGGACGACTTTCAAAACATCATGTTCTCTAAAAAAGAGGAACTTAATTATAAATAAAGGAAGAAACATAATTAGCATTTCTAAGGCTAAAGTCACCTGAATGAAATTTGTTGAACCATTGTTGACACTTACGAACGTTCAAAACATTTCCATAAACTTCGCTGATATTTTTTGTTGCTACAGAGGCATTGTTTCCTTTCTTGTATTCAAACAGCATTACGTGCTCAATGTGTGCCTCATCATGTGCCATCATTATAATGGATTAGAGTATACTAAACTTTACACATTATATAGGCTACACTAATGTGATGTTTAGGCAGTTCGTTTAAGTATTATACATGATGTACATTTAGGGGGGGGGGGTAATGAAAGTGTTCCAAAATGCAACATTAGTTTCTAAATTAAAATAAATAATTAAAATACAGTGTGTTTCACTGTACGTAATTAAAACTGTTGTGTACAATGAAACATGGTACTTTAATTATTTATTTTAATATTTTGAGTATTAGCAAAACTAGATTAAAAAACAAATTCCACAAAATAAAATGTCAGTATGAAATATCATGATAGCACTTTAGAAGAACAGTTTTCCAGGTCTTTTGTTGACCTCGGAACTACTTTCTTCTTGATGAAATTTGTTGAACGGACAGCAACTGCTTGTTGTAGAAACAGAAGTATATAAATAGCTTTACAAATATAGCTGTCAGAAGCTTATTCTATTGCTTAACAAGCAAATTAAACCAGCATTCAAAAATGGAGATATAGGTAGTGGTAGAAAATTTCACATCAAAAATTTTTTTTATTAAAATAAAGCAATTTGATACTCTACATGTGAATAGCATAAACAGCATAATGTGTCTTGATATAAATGATTACATATATACCTATGAAAAAAAGGAACATTCTCATTATTTAATTTTTTCCTGACCTTCTGTCACTCTGAACAGCCCTGTACATCATATTATTTACAATTAAAAGTATTCAATTTTACATTGTATGTTAGAAAGATTTTAACATACCTGTAGTTATTTAAATTTAATGATACATATTTAAAGCCTACTTGTAACCTTGATCGAAAGTTTGAAAAACTTACACATGCTTTTAATCTGATAATAAATTTCTAACCAATTTACAAACACAAATATTTGCAATCGTCGGATCATTTGTTACTCGCATTAAACTCATATTAGCATGGTTTTAACAGTACAGTATAAATCTTAAAGTGAAACATATATTAACACAACTAAAAAAGTTTCTATTATAATATAAAGCCTTACTCCTGATGATTAAATGGTAAATGTTATCTGAATACCCAAATGGTATATTGATAAGCAGTATATTAAATGCCAACACAACTTCTTCTGTGCCATTGATTTTGGACTTTGCTTTCATCAATTTTTGATAAACTGCTAGTTAACTTTTCACTTAATTTGGTCCATTTCCAGTGACATAAAATCCCAATTAACTTTGGCATTAAACAGATATAAAGTCAGTGGTTTCATTAAAAGACAAAAAGTGACAAATGTTCACAATTATCCTTCACTTCAATATGTAGTATAATATACTAACTCACCTCTTCTGTTAAATATTCCAGTCCTATGTTAGAAATAGCACCAACAGCCACAACAGCACATTTACCTCCTCTCTTGGCATACTTTAACAAAGTTGGCATACTGGCTGGAAGTGCAGCATTTTTTAAGGCCCTCAAGTACATCAGTCGACAGAGGTCATCCTTACAAGAAGCTAATTCTTTCTCAAAATATCCATGAATTGTTTGTACTACCTAAAAGTTAATTATCATAATTATTTAGAAAAAACAACAACTCACAAATGTTTGGTTTAACTTAATCATTCATCACAAGTTATCAGTGTATCCATATAGATCTTCTATACAGCATAAGTTTTAACACATGTTAGCAAAAAAGCTTCATGAAGCATTAACAATGTTAAATAGTTCCAGTCTTCCACGATTTTTTTGTATATCCTAGGTTATAAGAAATTCATAAAAATTCCTTACATTCTAACAATTATTACTTGTTCAAGAACCAAAAACATTCTCTATAACCTAAGAATTGGTCACAATATCAGTAGTTTCTTTATGTCTAGCAATATGTAGTAGTTCCATAATGTGTATAACAGTTCTGTCACAACTTTATAATTTCTGTCATGAGCGTAAAAATGTTGTCACATACTAACAATGTCTGTCATAAGATCAGCAATGTTATTATGTTTAGAAGTGTGTAGTTTTATAATGTATATAGCAGTTCTGTCATGGTTTTTATAATTTCTGTCACTAGGCCTAGTAGTTTTGACAGAATTAATATATTTGTCATGTTCAAGCAGTTTCATATCATGTCTATAACTGCTCTGCCACATAAATTGATGTTTAGAAAATAGTTCAGTTGTCACTCATTCAGTAGTGTTATAAGATCTTAGGGTGTAAAATACCTTGGCTGGCAAAGCATTGCATTTAGTAGCTATATCACATGCATGAAGTATTATTATTTAATGTTTTGTAAGCCTACCATTTTTATCATTTTGTCAACTTAATAAAAATCTGAATATGATTCTTACTACATGTCAAGTAAAAGAGTAGTTTTTTATTATTTTTTATGGATTAAAAAAATGTTCAAGCTAAGACCAGCACTAAGAAATTATTGTTGTTAGACTACAAGGAATACAGCATATTTCTGATTAAATTAAATCTGAGATCATGCATGAGCTAAGAGCAATATAAAAATTAATTAATTTTATTGAATTAAAGGAAATAAAGGACTTTCCTGAAGAAGTTAAAAACAGAAAACATGTGTAGTTATAAACAAATGACTACTAACTGATCAGATAATTTAGTCAACTAGGCTACGGCAACTTTAACTTGCAAATCTCACTTTATTAAGTACTAGCTGGAGTACCCCTCTCCTGAATGGAAGTTATGTAAATTCCTGATTAATGAAAGGTTATCTGAAGACATGAAAAGTTGCTTCCCTTACGTGTGATTGTAAAAAATACAAAAATCCCATAAAAACTGCAAAACACAAAATGCGAAACTGAAACTTTGCAGGTATCTCCGCTTGGACCCAACAAACCTTCATGCCAAATTTGGTGAAGATTCATCCATAGGGGGCAAAGTAGTGGGAAAAACACCCATAAAAACCACAAAATGCAAAACTGAAAATTTGTATGTATCTCCTCAAGGACCTAACAAACCTTCATGCCAAAGTTGGTGAAGATGCATTAATGGTGGCAAAGTAATGGTAAAAAATTTAAAAACAGCCATAAACACCATAAAATGCAAAACTGGAAATTTGTATGTACCCCTGCATGGACCTAATGAACCTCCATACCAATTTTGGTGAACATCCATCCAAACCCTGAAAACTAGTAACATGGACATACAACAGACAGTACTATTATATTAATATAGATTAATGACAGAATCTGGAAAGGCATAAGTTAGGTCAATCAGCTTAAAAAGCTCAGGATCCATTTACTGTTTCTATGTTGGAAGTGTTGATTAAAGGTGAATTTCAAAGGGTGGTGTTCCATCCTTAACTATTAAGCTTCAAAGACTAAGGGAAATAAAATATAGATGTTACAACATTGTGGATTATTGTATACAAAATAATTTTAACCTAATATTAACCATAAAGTCATATCTGATTCTTTTAAGCTCAGTAGCTCTTGCAAATGATGATAGATTATTTGAACTATCCGAAAATTGAAATATTTATGCCATATATATCTTAGTGTCACCCAGTGGTTCAGAAGTAAGCTTATGGATTTACAATGGTAAAATCCAGGGTTCAGTTCCCTGTGGTGGAGAGAGCACAGATAGCTCATTGTGTAGTTTTGTGCTAAAAAAAAACATACCTTAGAATCACACAATTTCTGGTTTTTTCTACAATAAGATCTTGTTAAGGCACCAATAGTCATCATAACTGTAGTCTTCACTTTTGGGTTTTGGAAATTATAGCTTGTGAGTTTCTAAAAGATAAAATAAAAAATTTCTAACAACAGTACTGCCCCTACACTTGTTTTGTTTACTAAATATTATTGATTCATGATACATAAAGTTCATCAAACTCAAATATTCATCAGATAGTAGAAGTTTTACATGTACAAAAAATTAGTGATTCTAATTAAATATCTCTGATTCAGAATTAGTAGACCTTAAATCCTAACATTAACCTACTATGAAAATTGGAAAGAGGGTCTGATGAAGCAATAATAAATGCATCAATCCCACCTACCAGAATCTAACAGATACATTTTTGCTTTAGAGAATTTAAAGACAAAACAATAAGAAGTATGTTACTAAGTGACCAATTTCTAATAATTTCTGAAAAGTACTGACTGCTACATTAAGCAGCATTTAAGGTACAAAAACTCAAGAAATGGCATCTAAAATAATGTGGCCATTGATGAAAGCAAACCTGTAATAAGACACAATCCTCTTGATTGAGCTAGACAAAATACATTTAAATTAATTTTTATATTAAAAGGACTAAAGACTGAAACTGTGTATGGTGAAAATAACTTTACATTTCTTTTTCTATTTTTTATTGTTATTTATATCATCCTTTAGTTTGTCTTAGCATCTATTAAACAGACTTATGTGCACCAGAAAACGAAAGTAGAAAAGTTATGATGGTGAAAATAAATTTCCAAAACTTATTTGAACTATTGGCCTTTAATTTGCACAAAAGCTTTGAAATCTGGATATCTAATTACAAAAACCATAATACTCTGGATAATAATATATTATGGTTCAAGGATTAGATCACATTTATAAGGTCTGAGTTTAAATTCAGAAATTCTTGCTTGCAAGGTCATAAGGTAATTAGAGATTCTTATGTTTTCATGGGACTTCTTGCTAATTAAACTTTGTATCTGCTAACGAGTTTGATTTTCATACAACTTACTACGCCTTTGAGCTTCTGCTTACACATTTCTAAAAATACTTTGTTTTTTTCTTAACTGGCCTCTTTGTTAATAAAATTGTTAAATAATGAAAGAAAGATTTTATTCTTCATATTTGTTAAATATTGGGCATTCTGCATATAAAATAATTTTGTTCCTTTAAATTTTCAAACTATATAATAATCACATTCTGATATTCCTGCTAAAAGTTTTTAGGCTACACTGAATTTTAATTTCCAAACAGAAACAATCATATGCATTCATTTAGCAACAAAATTTAAGCCTAGAACATGAATCTCCAAATGATAAAATACATCAAGGCACTTAGAGTACAGATTGTTGTGAGATTTAAACAAATAAATATCAACTTTTACCATAACAAAAATCATAAACGTTTCACTGAATGTTCAACAAATAGAAATTACTTTATCCTGAAAAATGTGACTCACCATGAGATCTGACAGAATCATGTGACTAGGATGTGAAGCTACAGACAAACCTAGAAAAAATCTTTCTGGGATATCAATGTTTTCTCCTGTTAAATCTAGAGTTTCAATAGCAGCTTGGAGAGAATTCTCTGTTTGTGAAGCAGCAATGAGGTCCAAAAGCTGGGGTCTGAAATATTGTTAAAGAAAGAAAGAAATAGTTGTGTTTGTTCTTAACTTGCATGAAAATATACAAAACGTTCCTGTTCTTGATACCCACAGAAGCACGCCTAATTAAAAAAAAAAAATCTAAACAGTTGTATATACCATTATATTTTTTTTATAAACTGCATATCTTACACTTGATTCTGTCAAATAAATTTCAGTTTTTTACTCTTATTTTTTACCAATGCAGTCACTTTATAATATTAACCTATATTTAAGATGAATTTTAAATGGCTTTCTTGTTTATATAGCATAATAAAATATAACACCTAAATACAAAGTGTTAAGAAAAAATACTGAATAAAGAAAGAACTACTAACAATATACTTTTGTTTTTAGAACTTTTCAATATATCCACAATGTTCTTTTTAGAAGCACCTCTGAACCTTTCTAATAATTGCAAGAAAGCTGTTGCTGACTTCAAAGTTGCAATCTTTTCTGTGCCTAACTCCTTCCTATAGTCTTTCACCAACCCTGGAACCTGGAATAAACATAGACATTAAAATACTGTACAATATTTTACACAAATGCTTAAGGTAATGAAATAACAATAAGATTACTTACTTAAAGATGTTACTTTTAAATTGATTGTTTTAACAAGCAATCTCTGACTCAACATCAGCAAAAATGGTAGGGCACTTTGTAGGAACCCTATTTGGCAGTTAGTCTTTTATTCTGAAAATCTAAAGCAATATGCATTATTTTAAGAGGAATCCTGAGGTGAACGTTGGTTTGTAATTGTATAAAATCCAGTTATGACTGGTTTACTGGTTTTTGTCAGTAGAGTTGAGTGAATTCTTATCATAATTCAGAGAATGGTCATAGCATCGTTGTAGTACATTATCTATGGAATACTCATCATTCCTGAGCCTTTTGTGAAACCTGTGAAGAAATGCCGAAACAACAAGTCAGAATATCCAAGTATTTGTTCTTATCAAGATGGAAACAAGGTTGAATTCAAAGCTAACCTGTAATAAAGTAGTAAAATGTCTGAGGTGCAACAAGTGTAGCAGGTGTGGATGTGATCACAATGGCACGCTAGTTACTCAAACATTTTGCTGTAAGAGAGCTCAAAGAAGTTTTGGCAAAGGAGGTGCTGTCAAGCACCCAAAGAGAAGTACATCTGTGTAAAGGAGCAGTGGAGTTACGGATGTAACTAATGACTTGCCCTCAAATAAGGAAGAGAGCAGAGACGATTTGGCATGGTGCAAATATCAACGATGCAAAGGAGAATGATTCAAAATCACGTAAGAAATGGTGAATAAAAAGACTTATTCTGAGTGAAATGCAAGAATATTACAAGGATTAGAGGTGAGAGGAAAACTAAAATAATGGCAAAATAGCACGACATTAACGTGTGGGTGGTACACTTTGGTAGGATAGAAACACATTAACAATTACTTGGATCAAAGAAATCAGCATGGCAAAATGATCCCTGGATTATGTCCTACATAGCCATGTACCTTACTCTTATGTTTCCAGATATCTCACCATCAACCAAAACAGTCATATTTGCTGCCTTTGGGTCAGATACTGCTTTTTTAAGCAGAAACAACATAATATATTGAACTTTATTTACAATAAGCATCACTCCATATTCCCTGAAATTAGTATACATCCCTAAGTTGTGTAGCATTACCTTAGAATGACAAATACAATTTTTTAACAAGCATCTTAGTAGTGTGAGAGCAATTTCAAAGAATTCATAAGATTTGCAAACAGTACATATTTTCTTAATAAGTAACAAGAACAACACAAAAATACTTTGCAAGACTTTAAAACCCACGAGTTAAGTAGCAGCAATATAAAAAATATGTGTAGATTTTAAAATACATAACTATAAGAAGCAGTAATACAAGTTATTAAAACTAAACAAAACTTTGTGATAATACACTAATATGTGTGAGTGTGTTTTTTTATAGCAGAGCCACAACGAGCTATCTGCTGTGTCCACCAAGGGAAATTGAAACCCATTTCAAATAGTAAAACTGGATACATATATATATTTTAAGCATACAATGTAAAACACATGTCCAAAATATATACTTTTCGCATCACCTTTACTAACAATCAATACAAAGTGTTTAATGGAATTGTAATGTCAGGTTCATAAGCACCCAAAATACAAAGAAACAGATAAAACTGCTGTAAGAAAGAAGATGTGACCTTCATGAGAACTTCATAAAGGATATTTAGCCTGTTACCCACAGGATGATTTATCTTTTTCAGTCATTTCAACTGTCATTTCTTTGTTTTGTATGACTTTACATCACAAGGTAGCTACATTTGTTAGTGACTCATATTACCTAACTTAAAATCTGAGATCATGTACCCTGTGTAAGTTAGCAACCAACACAGAATATTTTACTTAGAATCTCAAGCACATACTCTTGTCTAGAGTAATAAGAAATACAGAACAGCTGATTTAGGGTTCATAAGATTATACCCTTATCATGATTTGTAAACTATTTAGTTTGAGTTATAAACACTAACTAGGAACTAACAAAGTTTATTGCATTACAACTGCACAGCCATCATTTGGTGATAGCTAGTAACCAGTATAGTACTCTCCTTAACTTCTAAGTAAATAAATTTCAATTTCACATTTTTTAAATTATCACATTAAACGGTTAGTATTTTATTCTGAATCACTTGCTACATCTTACTGATGAGACAGTTGTCAACACTATTATTCTCCATCCTTATTTTCAGTAAGTAGTTTAAAATTAATTTCTTCAAATATTTTGGTGTAGCTTGGTCAAAATTCTTGCCTAGTGTTCATTGAGAAATCCAAGTTAATTGATACCACAGTTAACACACGATCCACAAGTAGTAACATACCGACTTGCAGTTTCCTTTACAAACATGTTTCTCTGGTTGGGAAATGATGTTTTCTTCCACCAGTTGCATGCCAACTTCTTCAATAAGATTCAAATAAGAAATAAGATCAATTGATTAACTCTGAACAAAAAAAAAGTACACATCATAAAGAGACAAAATGTTTTGCTTCTGTTACTAAACTATGTTTATGAGCATAATGTCAAACATTGACCAATCAAGTAAAGTATGTGTGAATCAGGCTCTAATTTTCTCAATTACTATGTATACTATTTGATACAATGCAAGGATGAAGTTCAAAATAAGGAAATGATTCAAATTTTATACGTATCATATGTTACCTCTGGCAATTTGAATTTTTTCATACGAGGTTTTGTATAATTGTACATACCATACGCTACCTCTGGCAATTTGTATTTTTTCATACGATGTTTTGTATAATTGTACTCTACCAGCTTTCATGAAATTAGATCATTAACACAGTCATATAAATTTCATATAAAACACTCACTTCTCCAATTTTTGTAAATGTTTTATCTTGCTCACTTTTGTTTATTTCTTTGTTTATTGTTACAGGATATCATTTTTAACATGATTATACGGCCATAGCATTTTCAACATAACTTTCATATAACAGCAAATCAGTGGTTGATTGCATAATCAAAGTCTAAATTTCTACACTTAGTAAAGCCCTGTCTTGGTCAGGGTTACTAAATTTATAACTTATGACTTGGTTTGTATCTTGTTGCTTGGCAAGTGGTGCCTGCTGGCCAGACCAGTCTGATTAACAGCCTGTTAAAAACTTCTAAAGTCTACAAGTGTATTTGATGATTTTATTTAATAAAAAATAAGTGTTAAAATGCTGGTGGAATTGTGTTAATTATGTCTGACATACACTTAAATGTTATTATATTAGCTGTTTTTAATTGGTTGCATAATTTTTAATTCTGCTGCATGATCAATACATAATTTATATTTTTCTGCACAATCACTGCATAGCCAGCAATTTTATAGTGCATAATTTTATTTATTTTCAGCATAGAAATAAGGGTATTATTATAAAACATGAAGTTGCACAATAGGCTATCTTTGCTGTGTCCACTGCAGGAATTGAATCCAGAATTGTAACATTATAAGCTCTTAAACAAATCCCATGACTCGCAAGTGTGTAGTAAACCATTCAAGTTAATTAAGAAAGCCAGTTACATATTATTTCATTAGTGGAGCACTCTGCCATCACAGAGTTTATTTTAAAAAAATCCAGGTTTTATTAGGAAAAAACTTTTCACAAAGCATTATTACAGAACTTTAAAAAAAACAAAAACAATTGGTGTCACATCTACAGACAGAAGAACCTTTTTCTAGATTTAATCATACAATGTTTACTAGTCAATTTATTAATAAGAAACATTTATCAGGTAGTTGTTTTTCCTTACAACAATACAGACACATCTTTGTAACCTTCTTATCCTTAAAAATTGTATGCCTAAATTTCAAGTTGCCCAGACAACATTAAACAATCTTCTTAATGGAGCTTTGTGCAGATTAGGTTCTTCTAGTGTCAAATAATCAATAAACTGCACCAGCCTGAAAGTTTTCTAGTGGTAAAATTTTGGTCTCCATGCTGATGAAGGCCTGCAGAGACATCAAAACACTATCTGCTAGACTCTTGGTACACTCCATTGAAACTCAGCACTATTATAAACAACTCCCAAGTCGGGGAGTAAATCATACGGAAGTTAGTGGCTGTTTTGGCCATCACAATATCTGGCAAACAATAAAAAGCATGAAAATTGCATTTCAATGATAATTTAGTATTAGAAATATTGAACAACACATATTCTGTGTATGTCAATTCACTTCCTTGCAGAGAAATCTTCATTTCAAAATGAGTTCCCCCCTACACTTGTGTGAAGAACTGGTAGAAGTTTATTGCCTTTTGCAATGACATTTATCTATAGAAGACTTGTTGTCAGTGCTCAAATAATCAATTTAAAATGGTATAATATGCAAAAGTAAAGTTTATCCCACTCTTAATTATTGGTGCAAGGTTGGAAGGTGTGGTGTTAAAGTTGAAGTAATAAGAAAGAGAGATAGTCCATAAATGTTAGAATTCAATCAAAAGAGGACAAGATTACTGCAAAGCAGAAGGAATATTAACAAAAAGTTACTTTATTCTTTTTACTGTAACCACTTAGATATGATTGCTCATTCCTCAACCAACAAAAGTAATAAGAAATAGTTGAACAACATTTATTGTTGCATCTAGTAAGTGTGAAGAGTGCCTTGGGTGTCATGAATATGTTGAAACCATTATTAGAGTGAAAATAAAGATCAAAATGGAACGGCCCTGAACAAAAGTAAACTTACTCAACATCAAAGCAACATTTTTTGGAGTTTTATTGCATTTGTCTAAGCAAGAGATCAAACCCTAAACTTATTTAAAGTTTTATGTGAGAAAATGATCTAATGGATTTTATCTTGTTAAAAATTGTCAACAAAACATTGTAATTTATGTATGATTGACTCATGATTTTAGAGGTTAAAAAAAATAATGCAAGCTTTGAGTTTCATTGATGTAAAATGGCAAAATAAGATTTCAAACAGTTTTTAGCTTTAAAACATAATATACATAAATATGTAAGTTAAATAAGTCTTGTAAATGTTCAAATTATGGCATCTCTAAAAACACACAATTGAAATTAAAGTGTACTTAATGCATTCTCAAACCAAATTAAAGTATTGTTACGACAGCGGAAGTCATGTGACGCTGCTGATGAGTTTCTCAAATGATCAGGGAAGTCCGAGTATGTTGAAGATGCCCTCTTCATTAGTATATAGGCCTGGTAGAGAAAGCCAGCGGAGTTAATGAATGGAGAGCAGTAGTTACTTTGAGTTCCGTGTAATTTATGTTTCTGTTAGTTTTGAGCTAGTGAGCCATAAAGTGTGTATTTTGCACTCGTTGAGAGCGAAGTTATTGAGATTGTGAATCGCTGTGATTTATAGCATGTATTATACAAGTTGTTAAGTGTAAAGTGATGAAAAACGTACTGATTGTGGAACTTCTGTGTACTAAATGTTGTATCGAGGAAGAATAAACTGGTTTAATCAAGAAAGAACTTGTATCGCTGAAGATCCTTGGAAAGAATTTCTACCGGAAATAAACAAACAAGCAGATATATAACAGTATCAAGTGTAAAAAAAAATTTCAGTAAAAACTAGTGTATAAAATACAATTATTTATAACAACTAGAAAATGTAACAAAATAACTGGAGGCACCTAATTTATATATTAAATGTGTTTGTTCATAAGCAAGATTTCTTTTAAAATCTGTTTTGGAAGAAACATCATCTACTCTTTAGTGTATTTTTTCCACAGTGTGTCCTATTCTAATTGTTTTATGATTTTTGTGTATAATGCCAGCAGTTGTAGAGCAGTATGTATGCAGACTTACAATGCTAGAAACCAGGTTTCGATACCCATGGTGGGCAAAGCACAGATAGCCCATTGTGTAGCTTTGTGGTTTGCTTCAACTTTTGAAGAACTGACAACTAATTTTTATTTAGTTTGTTTGTTTTCTCACAACATCTTATCTTAACTATTTTATGATTTGTAATTTTAAAGTTATTTTCATAAAGTACTAAAACAAAGAAAAACATAATGAGACTTAAACTTTAGCTATAATAACACTTTTTTAACAAGTCATTTAAACTGGTTGCACAAGCTCTTACCTTTTATTAAAATTTGAAGAGCATCATCGAGGTTTGAAGCTGAAAGTCCTGAAGAATCACTCTTTTCTTCTTTTAATACCAATTTGTATCTACAGTAACAATAAAAAAAAGTTATTATTACATATTTGTCCTTAAATAATGCTTAACTACTTATTATCAGCTATGAAATTGGAAAAAAGGACAACCCTTTAAAGATACATCAAAAACTGAAAAGGTTAAGTTTTAAATACTTGATTCATTATTGGTCATAAATTTACTCAATAATCATAAAATCTGATTAGCAGTAGGTACGTTTCAAACAGGATTTTTAAATCATTATAACTCTAACTATATTATTTTTTTATTAACAAACTATGAATTATTAATATTTTATCTAACTACTGTTTTCCTGTATTTGTTTAAAAACATCAAATTGTTTTTCTTGTACATGGAGGTATGGTGTATGAAACATTAGGTCTGAACAACATGAAACAAAACTGAACTGCAGCACTCTCTTAAAAATAAGAATACCCAAAGAGTAAAAATATATTAACATAAGCATCCGTCTTAACAGTTTCAACAAACAATATTCTTATCTTCTCTTTTTTGTAAAAAGTATCTAAATTTTCAATTTGAAACAAATTTGATTTTGTTTGGCTATTTTTAAATATATTTAATTCACACTATTTTTCAGTGCAAAATAGTTAAAGCACCATAATGATATAAAACAGAAAACCTATTTTAGTAGCATTTACTATTATATATAGGATACATATAATGCCTAGATCTAATTCATCCACTGGTACGTACCTTTATAGCTACTTAGTATCTATAGTACAAAATTCAACAAAATGTTTAAATGCACATTTTAAACAGCAAAAGTTTACAAGAATTGTTAAAAAATCATTAATATCTAAAAACCTTCTTTAATGAAACAACAAACAGGAAATTAATGTATTTAAAAACTTCAAAGATACACAAGGTTTCACCAAATGTATTTTTATGCAATTTCGAACTCTATAAATACATTCCTGCTCAGTTGTTTTAATAAAGAATAATTGTTAAAAACTTTGAAGGTTGATTTAAACTTAGTGTCTACTTCTTTGTCAACATACTTTTTCTTAAACAAAATAACCCCTCATTCTTAGCACTTGCAATGACTCAAAAGCTAATCTAATACACAGATGAGTTAAAAGTACATATGTAGTTTTAAACTGCTACCTCTGAGAAGTTTTATAAGCTAAGAGATTTTTGTAAGCTTCAAAGATTCTTGGCTGTCTATATATTTACATGTCCTAGTAGATAAAGACACAAAAACCCAATTAACCCCAGTGCTTTGGGAAACAGGTCATTTACCCCTGATGAAGGAAAGGTCACTTTCCAAAAGTGGTCAGATTATTGGGTTTGTTTTTTGATACTAACTTTTTTCTGTTGATCTTGTATTCTTTTGAATATCATAAGGAAGTTTTAGTGAAAATATCTAAAAGCTCCGGTACAAAAACAACAACAAACAAAATGGCCATTTTACCTCTTTCACACACATACAGCAATGCCTAATGAATAGCAACATAAAGTAAATAATAATGTCACTGCCTTTCCTCTGCATGCCTAATGAGTACATCACAATATCAGTCAGTGGTCAGATATTAAAAATATCAAAAACTATCAGAATTCATCTAAAAATCTTCTATATTGTTGAATTTGTTCTATCTCATTGAAAATCGTGAAACAATCTTCCTTAAAACAGGAAAATCCCAAGAAGAAAGGGAAAAATTAAGTCTCTTCTTATCATCTTTACTTACAAGGAATTCATTAATAACAAAATGATTTTACATTAGAAGTGTAAATTAAATTTCATGACACTTTATATTCTTAATGCATTTTTTGTTTCCTTTTGAGACATCTTTAGAATAACTTACTCAGAATCCAGACTAACTGCAGCATCACTCCATATATTTACATGCATCTGTATATTTTCATTTCCTTGAGCTGATTTCACAATTCCTCCATCAAGAGCTAACTCGTACACAGTTTCAGAACTGGTTGTTACAGTTGCTGATTGAACCTAGATATAAAGCAGAACATTATATACCAATGCTAGCCTAGACGTACAACACTGCAGACAGTAACATAAACCATTTTTCAGCTAGCTATAGAAACTTGGATACTGTGATGTAGATAATATTTATATACACACACACCTTTATATACTTTCATTCCAAAGAGAGGTTTCAAGGCTATTCAGTCTTCCTCTTCCTCCATGATAGCTTCAAACATAAGCCATCTTCATGCAAGTATGTGTTGATAATGTCACTGTTAGTTATCGATGATTTTTTCAAATAAAACTTGAAGTTCTTAATTACATATCCAGTGATTTTTTTGTCACTTTAGCACTTAAGCTACCATATAACACTGGTAGAGTGTAATTGCTGAAATAAGTATCTCAACTGGACCCTATGTCCGAAATTATGGGTTCATTAGCCATTCTGTGGCATTGCAAGGAATCATAACCCAGCAATCTTCTACTTGTAGGTCTACAAACGTTTTAATATCAAAGCTAAAGCATCTCACTATAAATTAAACTTAGAACAGTAACGTCAATATAAGTAGAGGACAAAGATATTTGATTAGTAGCAAACAACATATCATACTGTAGATATTATGTTTTAAAACTAGACACTCTTATAGTTGCATCATAAACTATATGTGCTATTCTGTTGACAAAATGTTGCTAAGCTAGCTAAGCTTATATTAATGTTGGAAATGCATGGATAATGTCTACTTTATCTTACCTCATTAGAATGACTGAATTGACCCTCTCTTTTAGGATGGACACAGTAATGTTTTTTTTTCTTTATAAATGACCCATCTTGATCATATGACACTTCACATCTTCCAGATACATCTTCCTGTAAAAAAAAAAGATGTCTTCTATACTAAGCTCCAGCATTTAAACTACTTACTTTATAAAAAAAAATCAAAGAACGGTGGTTTTCTTTTGGGTGTTGTGGAACGTGGGCTGGTAAAGGTAGGGGATGGGTGAGGCTTTCGGTATGGTTTTTCTGCTTTGAAGTGATAGTAATCAAGATAGCAGCCATGGGTGAGGATGGAGTCTGCAGTTATCCTGGAAGTTGCGACAACTTTCATGAAAGTGGAGGGTGAACCAGTTTTCTTTGATGAGATATGGTGGACTGCGTGGATCGTAAAGTTGGTTGTAGTTTTGAGGGCTTGATGAATTTCCTCTGGCATAAAGGATAAGTGGACATTTCTGAGAAATATTGTGTGAAGACTGGCATTGCTTTTAGGGGTTGGCAAGTGATGGGTGGGTTTGAAAACCAAGGGGAGCGAAGGTAGCGGAAGTATTAGAGTGTCTTGGGCTGTAGGAGTATACCTCCCTTGGTGGTATGGTTGCATGTGGCTTCAACCAATGGTAACCATAGGTTGCTCACCCCTAATTCTGAATTTCTGTTTAGTGAAGCTTTATTGTGTTAATGTAGAAAGATTCTTTAATTGTTTTCCAAAAATTGTCTGTGTCAATTATTGTAGTTTTATCCCCCTTTATTTGATGTCTAGTTGACGTGGTGTGTTCTGCAATGGCTGAATTTTGTTTTTTCATGAGTTTCATGCTATCTTTGTGTTCTTTCATTCTTGCCCCAAGTTGTCTTCCCATTTCTCCAATGTATGTTTCAATGCAGGAATATGGAATTTCATAGATTATATTTTTGTGTTTTTCATATGTAGGTTTCTGTTTAGTTTTTTACTAGAAATTTTGTATTTAGGGGAGGTAAATAGTAGTAGTGGTGTTCTTATTTTTTCTTCCTGTTGTGATCTTCTTCAGGGAGTTCTTGATGAAGGTAGAAGTGTAAGCGTTCTATTTAAAACACTCTTTTAGCATTCTGTTTTGATGGATGTCTCATCACAAATATTTTCTGCTCTCTTATTCAGGCAATGGAATATATGTCGTTTCACCAAGGTTGTATGATAGGACTGTAAGTGTAGGTATCTGTCAGTGTGGGTGGGTTTTCTGTATACAGTTATGATGATTTTTCTTCTTCTTCTTCTTGTCTGCTGATGAGTTCAAGAAAGAGTAGGCTGTTGTGTTCCTCTATTTCGATGGATAAACAACCAATTATAATACATCCTCAACAACCCACCAGGATACCATAAAAGACCTGCAACAGCTTACAAACACAGAACTGAAGACAAAAGATGGAAGACATTTGATACAGTGTCCTCTAAAATTGTGTTTTTTTCTATAACAGTCAGTTGCTGTCCATTCTAGTGTATTCACGATGAATACTCTGCATAAACAATCTTCAAAAAATTTGTGGTTCATTATGATCTTGCTCTCAAACCAGGATTACTGGCTATAAGCACATATGAAATTGTATGTTAAGATGGCCTAAACAACAGACAGCAGATTGTTAATTAGTTTGTTGTTAAGCACAAAACTATACAATCGACTATTTGTGCTATACCCTCTATAGGTATTGAAACCTGGTTTTTAGCATTATAAGCCTTCAGACTTACAACTGAGCCACTGGGGTGAGAGGCAGCAAAAAGTGTACAGTATTCCACTCGTTTTAAATAATTAAAAAGTTGTAATGCATTGGCGGTACACTCAAAACTATTATCAAGTTCTGATGCAATAGCTGACTATGAGAATTGTACTGGACCAATGCAAACAGACTGCAGCAAGTCATGGCCCAATAAAGGTTTCAACAAATTCAGAAATAAAGTTCAATAAATTTGTTAAGTTACATTTTCTGTACACCATGTATTTTTGCATTAGTTTAGTTTATTCCACACAGGTATATATTGTGTGAATAACTAAACTTCTTTCTTGACTTAAAATTACCTAACAATATGATATATGCTTCATTCTAATTATTTTCGACTTTGGCATAAAATTTTAATTTGATTAGTCGCTGGTTCACCACATAGTTCTGAGACCCTTGTTTTTCTGGTATTGTATTTCCTCTTCCTTTACTTAAAGATAAAAATATATGAAAAACTACTATCAAAACTAAAGAATAGGGAAAATAAATAATTAACTGTAATTTTAAAACCTTATACAAAAAAAAATTACACATTACCTCCTGAACAACTTAATACTAGTATTTCTTGAAGACCAAATATCAACAATCTCATTAAAACCAGTGAATTTGACTGTTAATTCTTATGGCACAAAAGTGTTCCTGTAAGATTTTGCATCCTACCACCATATAAGATCTTATTAATGAATGCCATATGTCTTCTTCAACTATAAGTATAAATAATAATAATAAAATATAAAACTAAAAGAGGTCACTAAGCTTATGTGTGAAAGTTATTCTCATGGCACTGCAAAAAAAAAAACATTCATAAAAACTCTACAAAATTCTATGGTTGAGAAAATACAAAAATTTATTATTACTCTGAACTTATTTATAATCATAAGACTAATATATGCACAATATATTATCATCCACAAACTAAACTTTGTTGTTTGCATTTTCTCTAATAAAGGGACAGTTTTTCCCAAGAAGTTTTCACTATACTCAAAAACAAGTTTAAAGAACATTTCTTTAAATATGTAAAGATCACTTTCCAGTACTACCAACAAAATATCTGCAACCAATTTTTAAATTTTAAGTAGCAATAATGAAAAAAACAATTATATCTGCATAACTAAGCACTGAATCATAGTAAAATTCACATGCTTTATAAATTTATTACAGATGATAGACTTAGAAGGTAGTCAGACCAATTCCATTTTCATACTATCACAAATATCTATACCCACCAACCTCACCATTCAAACTGTACAACAATCCACCACCTATACTATTATAACACCAACAATTAACAACTAAAATCTTACTTGTCAAATGATGATTGAATATCAAGTGGCTATCACCCCTTATTTTACTACTGTAGCTTTGTTTTTAATAATAAGCAAAAACAAAATTCTTACCTCATTAAACAACCCTTGTTTTGCTGGGAGCTGCAGTAAACTAGCCACACCTTTCTTCAAGTTTGTTAAAGTTAATGATTCTGTTACAGTGAACACTTTCTCAACTTTCCCTTTTCTCCATAAAACAAAGAGTGGATATTGTGTATGCTTTTTCACAATAGAATCATGAGAAACAAAATTCTCTGAAGACAAGATTAGCAGCCGAGGTTCCAGAAGCTAATGATACAGACAAAACAATTTTAAATTCTCAATTTCACAACAATTTACAACTCGTACAACTGCTAATGTATAAAGCATATGGTAATTATAACCATTAGGAATGTTGTCACTGATAAAAATATATTGATGTGATTCTACCATGGCAAAAGGTTCAACTTTAGAAAGCTTTTAGGCCAGTGGTTTCCAATATTTTAACCACCAAGGACCCCATTTATTATTATTTTTTTCCCCCACAGTCCCCATGTTCTTGAAAGATTCTGTCTACCCAACAAACTGTTTTAGTAACTAATAATTAACTCATATTAATGGCTTTTCTTACATACTTAGAGAGCCAGAAAATTTGTGACAGTTATAGCACAGTCTCAACTTTTAAAGTGTTATTATTCTGTGTCCTTCCATGCATTATTTAATTAAAGAAAATAGCTCACAAACTAACAGTATTACCTTCGCAGACCCCAGGTTGGGAACCACTGTTTTAGTCTTTATATGAAAGCTGTCCCAAAGATATTATTTTATAAATGTATCAGTTTAACCCATATATTTAAGTATTTCAAAATATATTTGAAAAGATTATTGTAAATTGTCTTTCAGTAGTTTGGGTCTATTAAATCACCATACTAAAATAAGATCTGTATTCAAAGTAATTTGTGAAACCTAACTCTAAAGTACCTCTTCTTGAAGGCTCTCTAATAAATATCTGTCACATAATTCATTAAATATCCAACTATCTTATGCAAACTAGTTCAATGACAGGGTTAAATTCAAGAATGGATACTATCTGTGTTTTTGTCGTTTTTTTTAATTACAGTATGCAAAAGCTGCCTATGAATTTAGTTTTTAAGAACAAAATAATAAAAAACATTATGTAACATTCAACAATGATATCATATTCTATAGGCATGGCTGATGTTTATCACCTTGTACTCCCTACCTTCAGCAATAAGTTTATCATTTTATATAGTACAGTTTGTCTTTAGTACTCTATAGAAGTGTCTGATTTTCAACATTGTTTTACTGATTGGTTCAATTCATTGTCTTAAAATGTCAAGAAGTTCCTTAGGTAATTAATATGGTGATTCATTATGTAAATTGCATTTGATAAACAATATTATATTTTAACACTATTTAACATATCTTAACAAAGTACTGCAAAACCATACAATAACAACAACAAAAAAACAGCAAAAATAATTATTCTTTCACTTTGTGAAAAAAAATTGCTTTAGATATATTGAGCTCAAATATACAGTAACTCACCTCAATCTTAATCAGATTTTCTGCCGTGTTTTCAGGATTCTGCCAAACATTTTTCACCTTAACCTGACTTCTTAATTTATATCCAACATTTTTTCCAATGCTCTTATTTGGTCGTAGCTCACTTTTAGCTTCATTCAACTTGACATGAGTATCGTATTGGTAAATATAAGTAGTCCCTAGCTGGTACTGGCTAGTTACTGCTACATGAGGATGAAATAAAAAAAGGCATTATAACCACATAATTCAGGTACAAAATATCGAAAAGACAAAATTATCAACAGCCCAAAACAATAGTTTTGAGTGATAGTGAGACTATCAATGCACTTTATTTATTTTTTCTCTACAACTGCGTGATCAAGTTCAGGATTGTGTTTTCATGGCAAAATTTAATTTACAAATCTAAATAATCTGTAAATTTTTTTACTAAGTGCTGTTTCTTATTATTACACATAAAACAATTGAAACTAACATAACATTTTGGGACACCATGGACAATTTATTTATTTATTTTTTTTAATCTTAAAGCCAGCCCTTATCATTCATATACTTATCAAGCTTTTTCTTAAACTCACTTAAATTTACTGTCTCTACAACATCTAAAGGCAACCCATTTCAAAGGCCAATCACCCTGTTAGAAAAATGAAACTGTCTTAGCTGAAGATGACTTCTACCTTGCCAAAATATATATTTGTGTCCCCTAGTCCTAGTATTCTCACTGTTAAATATGAAAAAAAGATAATGCATCAACACTATCAATTCCCTTTACAATCTTAAACAACTCAAACAGATCCCCCCCCTAACTCTTCTTTTTTCAAGAGAAAACAATTTGGGAGATTTCTGCCTCTCCTCATATGACAACCCCTCCATCCCAGGTACTATTCTAGTAACCCTTCTCTGAACCCTTTCCAACAATTCAATGTCTTTCCTAAGGTAAGAAGCCCAAGACTGGACACAATATTCCAAATGTAGCCTAACCAGTGACATGTGCAATGAAATTATAACCTCTTTAGACTTGTACTCAATATTTCTGTAGATACAACTTAAAATCCTATTTGCACTACCACTAGCATCAGTACACTGCTTGGATGGCTTTAGAGACTGATCAACTATTACTCCAAGATCCCTTTTCTCCATAACACTGTTAAGGTTATTCCCTTCTAAATTATACTTATAATTACAATTATGATGATAACCCACATGCATTGTCTTGTATTTATTATAAATAAAAGTTAAAACCCATCTGCCATATATTTGCCCAACTCACTACATGATCTAAATCCTTTTGTAAAGCAGTGGCATCCTCCTCACAGCCAGCAACACCTTAGACCTTAATATCATCAGCAAATTTAAGTAATTTATTGACCATTCTTTCATCTCTTTCATTGGTGCAAATCAAAAAGAGTAAAAATCCTAAGATTGAGCCACGAGGTACCCCACTTGTGACATTAGTCCCGTTTCACTGAACTCCATTTATAACAACCCTCTGCTTTCTTCCATCCAGCCACTCTTCTATTCAATCAGCTAACTTATTCTCCACACCTGTAGAGATATTTTTGTTTTACAAGCCTTTTATGTAGCACCCTGTCAAATACTTTCTGAAGATCCAGATACATCAGATCTATACCATTACCCTTATCTACATAAGCAGTAACCTTTCCAAAGATTTTCCTTTATTGAAACCATGTTGACTATCCAATAAAATTCTAAACTTTGTTAAATGACTTTGCAAAGCATCCTTTATCAGACTTTCCAAAACATTTTGCACAACTGATGTTAGACTAATTGGATTATAATTACTGGTACAATTTTTATCACCTCCTTTGAAAAGAGGAATAACATTAGCCAACTTCCAATCCTCTGGCACTTGCCCACTATTCAAGGACTTACAAAAACTAGTAGCAAGTGGCTCACATATCCAATCCTTAACCCCCTTCAAAGCCCTTGGGGAAATATTATCTGGTCCAGGAGCATTATTGTTCTTTAAACTTCCCAACTTTTCTTAGTAAGCTCAGAGTTAATGTAATCATCTTGTTTTCATCCATCAACTGTTCAAGATGAAGAATACTACTTAAATATTTATTAGTAAAAACCCACAATTAAGCAGAATTTAATAACCCAGCTATCTCATAATCATCATATACCAGCCTTCCTTTATCATCCCTCAAAGGTCCTACACACATCCTAACATTCTGTCTACCCTTAATGTATTTAAAGAAATCCTTAGTGTTAATTTTTAAATTTTCAGTCAAACCTTTTTCACACATCCTTTTTGATGTCCTAATTTCCTGTTTGACCAACTTTCTTGATATTCTATGATCTTCTAAATCTCCTGTCAAACCAGTTGATTTAGATTTCTTAAATCTGTGATGCTTTTCTTTAACTTTATCCCTTATACCCTTTATGAACCAACCTAGCTTTTTACTTGCAGCTTCCTTTTTCTTTCTATAAGGAATATGTTTATCTTGATTATTTAAAAATTTATCTTTACAGCTTTTCCACATTTGATCAGTGTCTCCATATAAAGCATAATACCATTTAGTTACAAACTGGAGAAATAAATTCAGCTGTCTATTTCTCACATTTTTCACATGAACTTTAAAGAAACTCTACAAAAATTGAATTATTCTTATGATGCTGGGAGTATCAATGTTTAAAAGTGTAACATCATACCATACTTACCTGTTGTATGTGCATGTATATATGTATGTGCGTGAAGCCTTAAAATGTTTCAACAAAGCAACTGAGATATACAATATATTCAGTATTCTTATGTGATACAGCTATTATACAATCTAGAATTATTTTATAGAAGTAAAATAACCTACAATTAGTATCTACTTGATTAATTATATAAACCCCTTATTAAGATATACATAATTATTAAACATTATCACACAATTCAATGTATTTCTGCTATTACATTTCTTAATTTGAAGGCAAATTGATCATTACCATGGTCAGGAGATATGCATATTCAAAGGTTTTTCGAGTTTTAATGCCAAGTTGTGGAATTTATTGAAATATATGTAACCTTTATCTTATACCCAAATAATATTTTAGTTTGGTAAATCAGTCACAAAATACACAGAATTCTTATGTCTAGCTTATCATGGTCTTGATTTTACCAAGCTATCCTTGTGAAACAAGTCTTCTTCAAATACTTAAAAATTACTACCTTCTCTTGTGATGACTTAATAAACTGTTTTTAAAAAGAAACCATTTGTACATTATTAAACAGACATAAAGTGCCAAACAAATTTAAATATAGTTTTTTCCCCTGATTCCAGCATCCTTTGCTCATTTATATAGCAACAAATGAAGGAATGATAGAATCATGTTTACTTGAAAGCAGAGTTGGATCAAATAAACAGTTTTTTTAGTTATTTTAATTTTAATGATATTTAAGTGGCATTATAGCCATACTGGTCTTCTTTCTTAAATTCACCTGTTGTGGTTATAGTGTTTGCTAAGATGACTCTTTTACACATATGTTTGTCTTAAGCATGTATAGTGAGGCATACTGATAGTAACCTTTTACAACTCAAGGTTTGCAATTAAAAACTGTCTTTGGATCAGCCTTTTACACTCAGGGCTGAGTGTGTTATATCAAAATGATTTTGAATATGCAAATCAACAAGTCACATGACAGCCACACTGATACAAAATCAAGGTGGAACAGCATTTATCACAACTACATTTTGGTATTGTTTCACATTTCATAGGTAGTGTGGTGTCACCAAACAAATATCATTTTTGAGAAGGGTTTGGAACATATTTTCCAAAACAAAGTATTCATAAACTCAAATGGCAAAGATGTGTTTAGATTGGAAATTTAGAATTTCCACAAGATTAATATCTCTTGTACGTAATGGCAAATGTGGAAGGTGTTAAAGAGGACATCGACATGTTTTTTTGCATGAAAGCCAAGTGATTACTTTAATCAGGGCATTAAGAACCTGATTGTAAGATGGAAAAGCATCATCGATAAGAATGGAGACTATTTCAATTAATATGTTTTGTTTTGATATACAAGTTGTTCAGGTTTTTTCATCTAAAAAAAAGTGACATTAATTTTTTGATGACCTAATATATGGAAAGGAGAGTAGCAACAGATGCTGATTTGGCTGACTGTCAGTCATATCATTATTTTAGATTCTAATCTGGCCAGGGATCCATATCCAGTAATGGCTTAAGTAAGTCACTATATATGGTACACTAATAATTCTGTTCAGTCCCTATGTCATCCAAGATAAGTGATAATGCATCTTACAGGAAAACTTCAGAAGAAATCCTGTACAAAATCACCATAAGTCATTGATGAGCCAACTGAATCACTTGACTCTGAGCAATTCACAGAAAAAGGGAATGAAAGGATAGTTCAAATGATGTTCTGACAAAGTCAAAATTTACAATCAAGGTATCTGGCTTCTTATGGTAACTTAAGCACAGAACACAGATGGAAACAGTAACAAGTACTGGCAGGGTGGGCTTGCCATCAAATGCACCATCTGTCATAAATAACAGACCAATCTTACTCAGCATCGCCTAGATACAAAGGCTAAAAGGAGGAACAGCAGACTACCTAATTGCATAAAATCACAATGCTAAGACAGGAATTACAGCTATACAGCATATTTAAGTGTAGTTGTACATATTTGAAATATGGAGAAGTTCAAAGGACCTTCTGTACACACTTTCAGATGTAGAAATACAAAAAACTCCGAGACCTAGATGATGCACATAGAATATTTCTAATGAGCATCCCTGGCCAAAGCACAGATCAGAGTACTGAAGTCCAGCTTTGGATATGATAAATGCAAAACAAAGAGCATCTGTTTACTCCCTAGGTTATTGAAGAGAACATACAAGAAATTTAATGCCCTTGCACATTTAACCTATGGTTGGTTAATATGAAGAAATGAAAGTCAGCTTACTGTCACACAAAAACTCTAAGAACTTTGTTTCTGCTACATCAGGAATCTCACATACAAAACTATGGGGTCTGGATACAAACTCCATTGGTATTAAAAGCAAATGCAAAATGTTTTGAATACAGGAAGCTGCTGTAGTCCATTCACATATTCACTTAAGAACAATTTGGTGCTGTCTCTCTGACACAAAATCTGAAACTGATCAAAACAAAGAAGTTTGAAACAGATGGAGGAAGTTGTTCCATAAGATTATTAGTTTGTTGAAAATACTGTGCTAAAACCACA